AAAATAAGTTTTTAAAGATTTAATAAAATTTTAAAAATATGTATATATGTACATTTAAAAAAAAACTAAAAATTTAAAGAAAATTTAATTAAAAAAGAAGAAATAAACAAATTAAAAGAAAAAAACATTCGCAGCCCGAGGACTCGAACTTTGGATATCTCAAATGGCACGAGAATGCTTTGTTCACTTTTACGTTGCGAATGTTGGGGCACCGCGAGTAAAATGATATACCAGCGGTTTCTGTCAAAAGAGCTTTTCACTATGAAATTTGGCAAAGGAGCTTTTTGTAACACTTTCGTGCCGTAATAAACAAAGTCGTTCGAACTACTTATCTTTCCTAATTGAAATACATTGTCTTACAAAAGACTTTCTTAGCCAGAATTGTCCTGTAAGCCTAAACTTTTTAGAGAGAGGCACTCCACAGGTATGGTAGTAGCGCTGAACGGCATTCTGCTAGAATGATGTACCAGCAGCCGCAGGCCCGTTCCTTTCAACCATTTTCGAAATTCCCGAAATAACCCTAGAACCAGACAAGATAGAACTTATTCTATCTACAAACACGATACAAATAATTCAATTCAAACTGTCGTTTCCGGACGGCGAAAAGTATCCTGGAGCCGTGCTGAACATCAAACTGGAAAATCAACGTCGAAAATACATAGTAGGGGCTAAAAACTATTATAGGACCAATTGTGGTTTGGTGGCTTGGACTAAATAACCACTAAAGCCATTCGCAATCTAGTGCCTGTCGATTTTCAGCCGAAAAAAGGGACTATGACGTAGAGTAGAAGTTTGTGGGGTTTATCGTGAAGCAAATGCATTTAAAAGGGACGACAGATTATACGGTAGCCAAGCTTCCTCCCAGCCGAGAATCGTGGAGAACAGATCGTGTGGCCGATAAAGTGACTATTACTCTCGGGCTCTACACCGACAGATTCAATATGAACCGAGTACACCTCGCGCGAGAGTCTACTCTGAGGAACTCGATTTTTTTATTTATTTTTTTATTGCGCTATTGGCAATAGAATCTCCGGTAGAAAACTGGTTAAAAAATGCAAAATGGAATTGGGTTCAGGATCTCGGTGAGTGATTGTTTATCTTGTCAGGATTCCCGGATGTAGAAAGGAGCTAACGTATTGGCGAAGGAAGAAGCCTCTTTGTATGAAACCGAAGCGATGTCACTGATTTGGCCTCTTGAAATTATAAATAGAGAAATCCATCTGATTTTCCTTTGACTAACTAGAGACAGTGCTGAACCAGCCTAATGTGCATATACATATGTTCTGGATATAGTCGGTTTAATTTATTGCCCTTTATCCATACATATATACATAAATATTTGTCAGAATTCATTTGCAGAATCTCCCTTTGCCACTTACCTGGCCGATCCGGACGAATCTGCTCGTTTATCCACCTTTTGTCTTCTTCCTTCGCTATTCGCACAATCTCTGTCTCGAATATATATTCATTGCCAAGCAGATTTCGTATTACCTCGATGTAAGCCACAAACTCCTCCATTGTCAAGTCTGCAATTGCGGTTACAATTTGAAATAAATTAGCCAACAATAAAATGACCAGCAATGAAATGAAACTATGCGCAGCAGCCAAAGTATTTATGTATGTATGTAGATAAGTTGGTGGGTAGCAAAATCTGATACGAGAAATAGCTGCTGCCAATTGCGATAGCAACCGAAGGCGAAGGCAATGGAATTTTGTATAACAAATAAATGAAATAAACACGTTTCGGCAGAGATTCGTGCCAACTTTAGCCAACAGAGCTGCCCATCAAAAATAAAAATAACAATATGCCGCCCATACAATCTACATACATACATATGTATATGCCTTGCAAAAATGCGGATAGTGTTGATGGCGCTCTGTTGCCTGACTGCGGCTCGATATCGCCATCGCCAGGATACAACAGCGGCCGCCACATAATATCCTGCCACAAAAACTAACCTTTTGCATTTTGATTTACAGCCGAGTCGGAAGCACTTTTGACTACCTCCTGCCGTTTTTGTTCTTGCTTCTGTTGACGTTGCAATTGCCATTGTTCTGGAGTTTGTTGTGGTTGCCATTGTTGTCGTTGCTCTTGATGTTGCTGCCACTCTTCATCGACCACTTCCACATCCCGCCGCTGTTGTGTATTACCAATTTGAATTTGAATGTTGTTGTACTCGGTGCTCGGCAGCGCAGTTTTTGGCAGACGCAAAACTTTTTTAAATTGCGGCAATGCTAGCACCAAATTTGCATTACCCTCCGCGCGATAGATCAACTCGATTTGGCTCAATTCCACAAGTGCCGGCTGTTGTTGTTTTACCACTGATTTTGACTGCTCCGTTGTCATCTCCGTTTTCGTTTGCACCGCAATACCCAATAGTGCTTCTAATATTTCCGCACAACCCTGTTCTTGCTGGTGCTTTTGTTGTTGTGGCGCAGCTGTTGTTGTTGTGTGCTCTGTTGGTGTCGCTAGCCAGCCGGCAATTGCCATGCGAGAGTTGTCGTCCTGTTGCCGCTCTTCTTGCTGGCTGATGTCGGTTGTGGCAATGTTGTCGCTTGCCATCTTCGGGTACTCTTCACTCTTTGCTCGACTTGAGGAGGTGTCCAGCTGAATTTCCGTTGATAAGTGTACGGATGAAGGAGTAGGGAGATGTCGGTTAGCTGCCACCGCAGTTGTATCACTTGTCAAAAAACAACTTGTCTGTGTGCAGATTGGAAAGTTTTAATTTCGTTCTTCTTGTTTTTTGGTTTCCTTTTTGCTAGTTTTCGTATTGCTTGTTATATTCTGTTGTGTTAAGCGTCAGATTCATAGCCAGAGCTTATCTT